TGTCCACGTGGCAGGCGACGTGGCATTGGAAAGGACGTGATTGGTTCGATGAAAACGGGCGGGAAAAGTGTCCACGTGGCAGCGTGTGGATGTGGCAATTGAAAAAACGAAAAACTGAAATTGGTGTGGTGAAGACGAGGGGAACAAGAAGAAAAGGAAAACAAAAAAACTGAAAAAATGACGTGTGTTAAAAAAAAAAAAAAAGCACAAATTAAAAAAATGACGAAGATGTCTACGCGACAGGCAATGTTGACAAGGCGGCACGTCGACGTCGCAAGATGTTGAGGCGCCCGGATGTCCACGTGGCAATTTACAGAGGACGTGATTGCCACTCAGTGGTGTGATGAAAAACGACGGGGAGAAGGATGCCCCAGGATATCCACCACGTGCCAGGATGTCCACGTGGCACTTGAAAGGGGGGTAATTACTAATTACTGTGGCGAAGACTGGCGTATAGCTCACAGTTGGTACAGCCCCCCCCCCCCCGCCCCCCCCTCTGAATTGTTGAAATGAAATACAGAATTGAGTCCGAACCCCACCGGAAGCAGTTGTTGTCCGTGAGTAAAACACCCTCTGCAAAAAAAAAAAAAAAAAAAAAACTCAGCAATTCTGAATTACCTACCCTAGTAGGGCCGGTCAGTTGAAATGATGACGTCTCTCAAGGCCGTATAGCCTCTTATTACAAATAGGGAAAAAAAAAAGGAAGGAAGAAAACGAAATCAAGGAAAAAAAAGGTCCTTCGGGACATCCGTTAACATTGGAACGATACAGAAAAAGATTAGCATGGCCCCTGCGCAAAAAAAAAAAAAAAAAAAAAAAAAAAGGAGGAGAAGGATGTCCACGTGGCAGTTTAGTAACGTGGCAAGATGTCGACGTGGCAAGACGGGACGGAAGATGTGAACGACGACTCGGAAGGATGCTCTTTTTTTTTTTTTTTTTTTGAAGGACCACAGATCAGATATATTTAACTGATCAGAACAGATACAGTGCACTTGATCTATTTTTAGCCAAAAGGTCGAGAAGGATGCTGATGGGGAGGAAGTAGAAGAAGGCGCTTCACCAACGGGACTACCGTCTTCCCCCGAACACAACGCGCCCTTATTTTGGCTGTATCTGGGTGAAATATAGCTTGTATACATTCATTTTTAGGGTGCGTTTTGTTCGGGGGAAGACGGTAGCGCTCAGTTGATAGGCCCGGGGGTCAAGTCCCAGTACCGTAGGAAGGGTGAGTTTCCGCAACGACTGAATCTGGACGTGTTTGTGGAGATGTGCCGACATCGCGTTGAGCTTGCTCAACCGCACATAGCAACAAACACGTCTAGATTCAGTCGTTGAGGAAAGTCAATGCTGGTGATTGGACTTGGCCCCCGGGAACTGAACTGTGGGTAATACAGACCCGGGGCCAAGTCCCACTAGCAGCGTTGAGCTACCTCAACGCCTGAATCTGGACGCTTTTGCGGAGATGTGCAGAAATGGTGTTGAGTTTCCTGAACTGCACGTCTCCACAAACACGTCCAGATTCAGGCGTTGATGTGCAGAAATGGTGTGTTGAGTTTCCTGAACTGTACGTCTCCACAAACACGTCCAGATTCAGGCGTTGAGGTAGTAGCTCAACGCTGCTAGTGGGACTTGGCCCCCAGTCCAAACTCCGCTCGCTTGAAGCAGGTGAGTGAAATACTGCAATGGTGAATTACGTAAGGGGGGGGGGGGGTTGGGGGGGGTTCAGTTCGATGGGATGATATCTGGAGGCGGTAGCCCTTGTTTAAGAAAGAGAGAGAGAAGAAAAAGAAAGAGAGAAAAAAAAAAGAAAAAAAAAGAAGGAAAGCCCTTGGTGACGTGGCAGAATTTAGATGGGCCCCACCTAGTTTTGTAAGGAACGCTGGGCCCCGTTCCTGGTTTTTATAAAGACTTGTAATTCTTTCTCAAAAAATAAAAATAAAAAATTGAGATGGCCTTTCTCGACCTCTCGGCTAAAAATAGATCACGTGTAGTATCTTTCCAAAACTTTTTTTTTTTTTTTTTTTTGTTGGAAAGTGGACAAGAGATTCGTTCTCTCTATTTCACCTCACACTATCTACCTACCGCGACTACCTTCTTCCCCCGAATACAACTAGCTGTATGTAGACTGAAAGATACCCCCAATACAGCTATAAGGACCGTACGTTGTATTCGGGGGAAGAAGGTAGTAATTATTTAAGTAGGCTATGGATTCTTCTCTCAATTTCACCTCACACTATATCTACCTACCACTACCGTCTTCCCCCAAACACAACGCACCCTCATTTTGACTGCATCTGGCCGGAAATATAGCTTGTATACATTCATTTTTAGGGTGTGCGTTATGTTATCGGGAAGACGGTAGTAGTAATTATAGTCATACGGGGAACCCCTACAGTCTTCCCCCGAATACAACGCACGGTCATTGTAGCTGAATTTGGTGTATCTTTCGGTCTAAATTCAGATATAATGACCGTACGTTGTATTCGGGGGAAGACTGTAGCAGCCAGAACCGCGTTCAGGGGAGAAGATGCGGGGGCTGCTCCCGACCTGCAGGTGGGCGATACCTGCCAAAGGAAATCGGGTAGCATCAGGGGATCATGCCAACACGAGCAATCCCTGGGGGGCCCCTCCGGTGGTGGTCCCCTCCCCTACGAACATCAGCAGACTCTGCTCAATATGCCGCCAGAGGGGACCCAAGGACCTACCTCTAGGTGGCGGGCGCCAAACATGCCCAGGAAGGTACATGAGGCCAATGGGGATTGAACCCACGACCTCCTGAATGCTTGCAGCATCAGGTACGATGCCAACAGAACCAATCCCTGTGCCTCCCCTCCGGTGGTGGTCCCCACCCCTAGGAACATCAGCAGTGGTCCTGTGCCGCCCCTCAGGTGGTGGTCCCCTCCCCTTCGAACGTCAGCGGACTCTGCTCAATATGCCTATAGGGGATGTACCAACTGAGCTACAGCTCCTCTTTTTTGTTTTTGGCTGTTTATCTCCGTTGGTATGTTGTTGTTGTTGTTGTTGTTGTTGTTGTCCTTGTTTACGATCTCCTCCTCGTCCGCATGCTGTAAACACAACCTCTAGGGCGCTGACTGGCCGGTAAGGTCTCGATCTTCTAGGGGGGTCTCGATCTTCTAGGGGGCTGACTGTCCGGTTAGATCTCGGTCTTCTTCTAGGGGCCTCTCCTCGTCCCCATGGGGTAAACACAACCTCTAGGGGGGTGACTGTCCCGATTAGATCTCAATCTTCTAGGAGGCTGACTGTCAGGTAAAATGTCAATCTTCTAGAGGACTGACTGTACGGTAAGATCTTGATCTTCTAGGGGGCTGACTGTCTGGTAAGGTGTCGATCTTCTAGGGGGCTGAATGCCCAGTAAAATCTCGATCTTCTAGGGGGCTGACTGTCAGATCCTCTAGGAGGCTGACTGTCTGGTAAGATCTCGATCTTCTAGGAGGCTGACTGTCCGGTACGATCTCTTCCTTCTAGGGGGCTGACTATCCGATCTTCTAGGGGGCTGACTGTCCGGTAAGATCTCGATCTTGTGTTTGGCAGCGCATTGTGGTATGCCACACGGCTCTGCAAGTACTTTCTGGAGATTGGCTCTGCAAGTACTTTCAGTCTCAACCTTGTACGTGTATCTGGATGGCATTCAGACCACATACATACGAACCGATATTTGTCAAGAAGAAACTGGAGATTGGCTAGAATGACATCACCAGATTTAGACAGAAGTAGATGATGATGGATCGGTTCGTACGTATGTGGTCTGAATGCCGTCCAGATACACGCACAAGTTGAGCAGTGCAGTCACGCCCTTAACTGGGGTAGCCACATTGGCCAGCGATAGACCATCTGGAGCAAGATCCCAGTAGCAACGAGGAGTGGATTAGGCGCCTGAATCTGGATGTGTTTTATGCAGGGATGCAGAAAAGCAGACCAATAGTAGCGATATTCTGCACCTGTCCACAGACATGTCCGGATTCAGGCATTAAATCCAATGCTCTCTGCTAGTGGGACCTGGCCCCTGAAGATGGAAAGGAAAATGTTTCTTAGTTTCCCATTACACGGCAGGGGCATTGCAGAGGTGATATCTCTGTTGCCCTTCCCCCCCCCCCCCCCCCCTGTTGCCCTTTTTGTCCTCAGAGGCACAGTTTTCCGCTTTTTTCATTTTTTTCATTTTTTTCATTTTTTTCATTTTTTTCATTTTTTTCATTTTTTTTTCATTTCCGTCCTTTTGTGTCTGTTGCTTATCTGTTGTTCTTGCTCAAATGCCCCTGACTCGTCGATCCTAAGTGCTCTCGACTCTGCTGCACACCCCTCCAAGTAGAGTGGTCAAATGTTTTTTTTTTTTTTTTTCCTTTTATAAATATTTGAAAGGCCAATTTAAACTCTTGAGTGACTTGACATTGCTGTTCCCACAACTTCCCATGGTGTTGTAAGTTTGGTTCCTCCCCCCCTCCCCCCCTCCCCCCCTCGATTAATGTGTGTGATCCTTGCTCAGGTGCCATGTGCTAATCTTCATTCTCTGTATCGTTTCAATTTTGACGGATGTCCAGGAGGACTTCTTTCTTTCTTTCTTTTTTTTTTTTTTTTTTTTCCTCTCTTTTTTTTCCCTTTTTCAAAAAGGGCGACGGCCTTGAGATATCGTCATCGAGCTGACCGGCCCCAGGTAATTCAGAAATACTGGTTACACTCATCTGGCTCCATCATCATCTGGATTCGACCTCGGGTCTGTATTTCAACAGTTCACGGGTGTACCAACTGAGCTAGAGCTCGCTTTATTGGCCCCCAGCCCCCCAGCATTACTAAGTATATCCGTGAGGGCTTGAACAGGCGATCTGTTTATCAGCAATGCAACAATTACTTGTGTGTTGTTCCATTCAGCTACAGGGCAGGTGGGTGCTTGGACACTTACTTATGTCTCGATTTGTGTGTGCAATGTCTTTTTTTTTTCACTTTTTTTTTTTTTTTTTTTTTCTGTGCGATGTTTGATGGTGCAGAGCCTTTGCAAGTTTGCGAACCTCATTTCTGGATACCATTCCAATTTCAACGGATTGATTTGAACTCTGGAGATTGTATTGATTGACATCCCTTCCCCGACTGAAGAAAAGGCGAGAGATTGATGGCGGTCGATATGTCCAATCAATGGTCACGACATCGTGCTTCCGTCTAGAGCGAGTGCGTCCCTTGTCGGGTCGTCGCCTTCGTGTGCATCCTCCAGCTGGCACAAGGTATAGGGGGTGAGTTAGGGTGCGTTGTGTGTTGGGGGACCCTTCGCTGATAATTCACCAATCCTCGAGATATTCAAGAAAGGATAATGCTTGGCTACTACCATCTTCCGTCGAATCCTATGCGCCCTCATCATGAATGTATACAAGCGATCTTTCCAGCCCGATTCAGTCATAATGCGGGTGCGTTGTGTTTGGAGGAAGACAGTAGCTGTCCTGTCTATATCTTCTGACATTCTAGTCATTTCCCGAACCTGAAAAAATAGTAAAAAACAAAAAAAACAAAAAACAAAAAACAAAAAACCAAAAACAAAAAACGTTTTGGACCAAACTTGCTGTCAATCAATCTCCCCCCTCCTTTTCCAGCTGTTTCTCCACGTCTGAAAACTTAAAAAAAAAAAAAAAAAAAACATTTTTGGGCCGAGCTCGGTGCCAATCTNAAAAAAAAGGATTGCTGTACTGCGGTTGCTTTGGTCCGCTTTGTTGGCCCACAGTGTGAATGGACATCCCCCTAGGCTTTTCTCCACGGTCCTCTTTTTTCTTGTGTGGTTAGTGAGGTTGGACAGGTGGGTCTCTTGTAGGAGAATGATGTCGGGTTTGGGCTTTCTTTTGTCTGTGAGGCCGAGTCTGATGTCGCGTAGTTTGTCGTCTTCGGTGAGGATGTTGCCCAGACCGTTGACGTTCCAACTGTGGATCGTCAATCCTTTTGCTTGCCAGTCCGTTCTCACCGTCCCAGGGTGGTTGTTGTTGTCCCCCATTAGATTACGTCTGACGGATTGCTACATGCACCCCCTTTTTTTTTTTTTTTTTTTTGAGGTTCATGTCACACCCCCCTCATTTTTTTTCTTCTTCTGAAAACTAAGCTATCTTCTTCTCTGAATTCTGCCACCTCACACGAGCTACCTATATACCTCTCTCTATCCTACCCACATATCTAGGGCCAGGGGCCTGGTCCCCATCAGCAAAAGAGGATTGGATTTAATTCCTGAATCTGAACTTGTTTTGGGGGAAAGATGCAGAAAATTGCGATTCATCTGCTTTTCTGCATCTCTGCGCGAAATGCATCCAGATTCAGGAATGTAATCCCATCCTCTTGGCTGATGGGACCAGGCCCCAGGAACTCCATCTGAAAGGAAAACTGTCTTTCTACTCTATGCAGGGAGTAGTAGCTAAGCTCCTACCCCCCAGTGAGGGACAGCAGGGGCAAGGGTTAAGGAAACCCATACCCCTCCCAAGACCGGCCCGGGGGGGAGCAAGCCAACTATCTCAGCTGCTAAAACACCAAGCCCGCCGCATCATCGACCTTCTTCTGCTTTGTCAGTCTGACCATTAAATTTTGTGTTGCGGACGTTCAAAAAATGAGGTCGGCTTGTCTCTTCCACTGCCTCCTTCCCGCGCTTTCTCCCTCCTTTCTTCGCAATTTCTCCACTGCCGTCTAGGCCTTCTTGTTTGCCGGTCTGGTCAATTGAATTGTGTTGTCGACATCAAAAAGAAAAAAACTGAGGGCATACTCACACTAGGACTTCTTTTACTCGTCTCTGGACGTAACTACGGTCAGGTGCATGCACCAGAGGCCGCAGTTTCGGTCAGATACGTGCAGGATTTCTCCGCCGCCTTTCTCCGCCTTCTTGTTTGTCAGTCTGGTCATTGAATTGTGTTGTCGACATCAAAAAGAAAAAAAAACTGAGGGCATGCTCAGGCTAGGAGTTTTTTTTACTCCTCTCTGGACGTAATTGCAGTCAGATGCATGGACGAGAAGCCGCAGGTTCGGTCAGATACACACAGGATTTCTCCACCGCCTGTCTAGGCCGCCTTGCTTGCCAGTCTGGTCATTGAATTGTCTTGTTCACATCCAAAAAAGAAAAAACTGAGTGCTTTCTCGGACTAGGACTTCTTTTACTCGTCCGTCTCTGGATGTAATTACGGTCAGATGCATGCAGGAGAAGCCACATTTTCGGTCGGATACATGCAGGGAAGTCCCAGTGTGATTATCCTCTGAGATAGGCCTTCGCTTCTCCATCTCCTTCTACCAGTTCTTCTTCCTTCTTTCCTTTCCTTCCATTGTCTTTTCCCTCTCGCTCTTATTCCTCAAAGATTGCAAAAAGCTGCCCCCTTTCTCTTCTGTCTCCAATGGCTGCATGGCAGCTGCTATTCTTCGCCCGAATACGATGTACTGCGAATACCCCAAATACAGCGATGATGATCATAGGTTGTATTCCGGCGAAGACGGTAGTGCTTTTATCATTTACATGGCATGCTGCATTGAACGTGCAGAGAGCGCATACATCAGAGAGCGCGTACATCAGTCCTTTGAAGTATCCAAGTGTCAAAAATAAATAAATGGCACCGAGTACACACTGGCACAGGTTGAGAAACCAAGGAGAAAATGCAGAGGTTAGAGATACAATTTTTTTTTTTAGATTTGAAACTGGGAGAACAATCGACAGCGATACATGCAAGAGTTCATGTCGAAGAAATCGACTCTAAACTTTGGAAGCAGGAATTGAAATAATTTATTCCTTTGTTGGGGACATTGCGTTAAAATTGGAACGATACCTGAGGCGTGGTCCCATTAGCAAAGAGGATCGGATCGAATGCCTGAATCTGGACGTGTTTGTAGAGAAGTGCACGAGATTGAACTGCTTTTCTGCATCTCTGCATAAAACACATCCAGATTCAGGCATTCGATCCGATCTTCTTGCTAGTGGGACCTCGGTCCTGGGCTACCAGCCAGGACTCGTGGGTCACGTTGTTTGCCCAGGCGGCCCGGCCGTGCAAGGACCAGGTAAGTTCCAACGCAATAAATAAATAAATAAATAAATAAATAAATCCAAAGAAAATTTAAGAAACGGGAAAAGACTTATGTTATGCAGAAAAATAAACTGGACAGCGTTTGCCTCAGGGTCACATTCAAATTTGTTACTTTAGTTTGATTTATTTTGTAATATTTTTATTATTTTATTTTTGGCCCGGCCGGGCAAGTGGTCCCAGGCCCACTCTGGTAGCCTAGAACGATACAGAGAAGCTTAGCATGCCCCCTTGCCCTAGGGTGACACACGTAAATTGAGAAACGGTCCCCATAAAAAAGCAGCAACTGCTAAAGAAGTCTGCACTCATCAAAACCGTGATGTCGCGCCACCTTGGATATGAAGAAAAATCGAACAATGAAGACAACAGATCATACCATGCGAGAACTTTGAAATCCGTTTCGTAGAGGGCGCACCTACACTTGAAATCCGAAGGAATCCTTGAAAATGATGAACACAAGGCGACTCCCACATGTTCGTCAAGAAATCAGTCTATGGCCGCCTGGATGCTGTACAGCACATTCTCCAGAAAAAAAAAAAAAAAACACGGGTTGGATCTGTGTGTGTGGTTGCATAGTCGAATCTGTTTTGCGCAGTTGTGAGTTGTGTCGCTGCAGGCCCAACCCTGGCTTAGGTGATACCCAGTTGGACTCTGGGTTGGCCATAACTAGCAGCATCCCTCTTGTTAGTGTGTGATTGTCTGTCTCTTGACAGCGGCGGCTTCGAACATGGCTGGTTGGTGGTCAATGCGCCAGGTTGTTAAGCCTGAGATCGCCGGTTCGATTCTTTCCGGAGTCGGATCAAAGGAATGGGAAAAATAGTGCACCAAAGAATCACCTCACCTGCTGAAGATTTTGAAAAGTTATTGTCCGTCGGTGCTGCTCGCCTTGCGATCTTAGTTAAACCACCAGTACTCGGCCCAGTTATCGGCCGCGGAAAAAGAAAGCGTAGAAATGTTTCTAGTCGGATGAATTTGGGCGCTCCTGTAGTGGCCCATACGTGCGTTTCCTAAAACTGTGGCGTGTTGTTAACGGGCACGACTCTACGAAGTACTGCGGTGGTTTAAGTACCAACAACAATGTGACAGGCGTAGAACTCGAGAAGAAGGGCAGCTTTGTCAGTCGTCCCCCTACCGGTCATGCGCTTGATCTCAGATACCCTTAGCTCTCACACACCAGAAGAACCCTTGCAGTGTGTCTTCAGTCTGAAGTTCTGAATAGAGCCTACTTTCCTTGGAATGCGTTCGAACGCTATTCCGTTCCGTTCCTCGACGATGCCGTGCCCTACTTTTGTTTCTTTGGTTCAGCCATAGATCAACATGTACTGCTAAGTAGGGAAAGGAGATTACACATTGCATGCTTCTTAGCTTTGCTGGTTTGACTGCGGTAACTGTCAACCAGGGTGTGTTTTTCTCAGTAGAGGTGGGATAAATCCACACTCTGCTAGTATCTCCAGGCTGTGTATGATTCGTCAATTGGGCCCAGGCCAGGGCCCATGCTGTCCCAAGTATGAAGATAACACTAGTGGGCCTGGTCCTTGGTATATTATCGGATCTTAGTCTGAGCTGCTAACCCGTCCTCGTAAAGCATAAGAGAGTATCGCGCCTGGAAGCGAGTCCAGTTTCCTCTTGACTATTTTATTGCTCATGCCTAGGACGTTGCCGCACGGCACACGTAAACGAAAAACGAAACGAATGTATCTTCCCCCAGAAAATGGCCAGGTTGATCGGTGGGCTATAAATAGTAACGAGTGTATTTTGCCACCTTTGGGGGGCAGACACACTCGTTTCGTTTCCGTTTCGTGTGCCGTGCGGCGAGACCCCTATTCTGCTTGAACCGCAAGCGCCGGCCGCCGAAATGACAGTGTCAGAATCCGTCGTTTCGGTCATAGCATGGTGGGTGTGGTCTTATCTCGCTGGTCTTTAAGATGGAAGTAACGAGTAATCGAGATGGTTAGGTCATTCGTATTGCAATGTCAGGGGTGAGGTTCTTGGATTTGGGGATGACAAGCTTCTGTGAAATCATGTAGGTCAGGATAGCGAAGACGATCAGATGGCTGTTCCAGCTGCAACCACAGATGACGCTGACTTGAGACTCGTGAATGTCTAAGGGATGACGCTGCCAGCACCTTGTGACAAGTCGAAAAGTTTACGGATTCCAAGGGGATTATGCGCCTCGCTCCACTACACAACACTCTACATGTATT